GAGCAGAAGCTGCGATACTTTCACAATGTGTTTGATGGCGAAGCTAAAAGATTCTATCGCACCTCCATTGCTGGTACCCAAGCATCCTTCGACTCAGCGGTTCAACGGATGCCTCAAGAGTTCAACAGCATTACGCGGCAGAACAGAGTTCGAAAAATATTGCAGAATCTTCGCCTGTCACAGATTCTCAAGACAAAAAACTGCTCTGTCAGCGAAGCACTAGAAGAACTTCGCGAAACCATCACTCGGTACACACCACAAGGGCCCCAAACGCATCGATCAGATCCCAATAAGACAGAGTACCTTCACGAAGCCGTGATAGGAACAGAATGGGCCAAGCCTGTTCTGACTCAAAGCCTTGCTTCCACGCCGCCTTGGACTTTTCAGCAGATGTATACTGCACTTGATGCAGCTTGGCTCCAAGAGCAGAAACAGAACGAAAGCCGTAAGCGTGACCCCCCAGAATGCCGTCAATGATGCCAACCCTCCCCGGCATACATTTCCAAAGACAAAATACATACGGTACACCCCGTCGACCTGGATCCTCCTCGTCAAATCCTCGTGGCAACTTCTCTGGACCGTCCAAACGTTTTAAGGATTCCCTAAACGGAAAGGACCGTTTCGGGAACGTACGATGCTGCCACAACTGTGGTAGTAAGTATCACTTCATCCGAGGATGCCCTAAACCCGCCTCTGTCATACGCAATGTACGACGCATGATCAAAGCGCGCCCTAACCACGTCAAGGACATACTGTATGAACTTAGTAATCAAGTGGAAGACATCATGCACCGTAATGACACTTGTTTCGAAGACTTCGAAGAACCAAAGGCCCCAAACAGTTCTGAGTCACAACACTCAGATGGCTCTGACAGCGTGACTGACAGTGACACCGACGAGACAGAAGAAGCTGTAAACAACCACGTGAAAAACGAATCCCTTTACGGCTACAAGACCAATTCTCATCGGACTATAGATCCATCGGATTTTTAGCGAGCGACAGTTCCCATCTCCAAGATAATACACCTCAAACTGTATATTTTGAAACTGTCCGCGCTAAAAAGAGATGCAAGTTTAAGCATGAACGTCGTTCTGCGATAAGTCGCCTTATTCGTTTTCCACGCCACAGAGAAAGAAGACCACGTCACCACGAATTCGTTGTCTACAACCAGAGCCACATTGCTTCAACTCAAAGGATTCCTTGGCAAGGAGCATGTCTTGACACTGGTGCACAACGCACAGTAATCGGCTTAAGACAGGCTAAGGCATACTGTCGATACACTGGCACAAAGTTTAGACTCGTTTCCTACAACAACCGCTATCGCTTTGGCAACGACCGTCAACTCTCGTTAGGCTCTTTGACCATTACGATAACACTTTCGGACGCTCACGCTACCATGGAACAAGTAGATGTAGTTAACTCAGACGTACCACAACTAATAGGCTTACATCTACTAGAGAAGTACGGAATATTCGTCAACACTATCACGAATTACCTTCATTGTCCTCAACTGCAACTACGAACTCCTCTGCTTCGCAAGAACGGCCATGTCTATCTCGAATGGCCAAAACGTGAGCACATATTCTTTTCTTCTCCAGAACTCTTGCGCCTTCATAGAGGATTCTCCCATCCTGCCACGGATAAACTCTACAACCTGCTCCGCATGGCTCGACCTTACGAAACGAACCAGGAAACCAAACAGGTCCTGGACCAGATTAAACAAGCGTGTGACACTTGTCAGCGCTTGTGAACAACCCCCATTCGTTTCAAGGCCTCCCTTCCAACGGAGGATTCCGTTAAGTTTGGGGAAGAACTATCTATGGACCTCATGTTCCTAGACGGAAAGGCCTTACTCCACATCGTCGACACGGCCACTCGTTTTTCAGCTGCTGCCTTCCTCGATGAAGACTTCGACCAAAGTGTTGAAGGTATTTGGTTAGCCTTCATTCAAATATGGTGTACCATGTACACCGGTTACTCAAACCGTCTCCGCGTTGATCAAGGATCATCCTTTACTTCTGATCGCTGGCGCCAACTCACTGACCATACGCCGGTATGCATTCAGCTCAGAATTTCCAGAGTCAAAGCTCACAGCTCCCTTGGAATCGGAGAGCGACTCCACAACCTCTGAGAAGAATTTACAGAAAAGTGCGAGCTGACTACCCCCAAGCACACAGTAAAATTCTTCTCAGCATAGCGATAAAAGCTATGAACGGCACGATCGGAGAAAAAGGGCTTGTACCCTCATTTCTCGCCTTCGGGATAACTCCTCGTTTTCCCATCATCAGCACTGAGCTTCCAACACAAGAAGAACGAATGAGACTGCTGACGTCTGCTCAGATGGAAATGAATGCAATCATAGCCGAAAGAAGAATACAAGCAGCATTAACAAGACAGATACCTCCAGCAGCCGATAGGACATATCAACTAGGAGACGAAGTACTAGTCTTTAGTGAACAGGATAAGAACTGGTTAGGACCATTTATAGTTATGCATGTTCAAGGAAGAATGATAACTATTCAGAACAGGGAAGGAACATACAGGCAAATGTTCAACGCCTTCCAACTCAAACCATATTACCGAGATCACAGTCCCATCAAACAAGAATATTCCGTTCTCCCCTTGCTCCAAAGACTCCCTTCTCTTCCTTTATCACTGAAGAAATCAAACCTAGTGACCCTAGAGCACGCCAGTTCTCTGCAGCTAAAAAGAAGGAGATAGAAGGACTCATCAAGAAGGAGACCTGGAAAATTGTTACTAAGGATGAAGTACCACGTAATGCTAACATTATGGGAGGCCGCTTCGCCCTAACAATCAAGGACTCCAGTACGAACAAAGAAGTCTACAAGGCTCGCTATGTTGTTCAAGGTTACGCTGACAAACTGAAATGTTCTTTAGTTCACGATAATCCTACGGCCGGACAGTTTTCAGTCAAAATATTAATAGGGTTAGCAGCAGTATTTAACTTCCAGCTATTCTCAACTGACGTTACGCAGGCTTATCTTCAAAGTGCAGAAAAGCTAATGAGAGATGTGTACATTAAGCCGTCAGCAGAATTTGAACTTGGCCCCAATCGACTGCTTAAGCTTTTAAAACCACTATATGGCCTCGCAGATAGTGGAGATTACTGGGGAAGGACCTTAAGAGACCACATCTTGAAAGACGTTGGAATGAGTGCAAGTACCACATATGGTGCACTCTTTTTCAAGAAGGTTGCGAATCAGCTCGCCGGTCTGTGTGCTACGCATGTCGACGACTGTCTACATGCCGGAGACGCAAAGTATTTGAAACTAAGTCAAAGTATTGAGAAAAGGTTTCAGTGTAGATATAGAGAATTTGACAGGATACAGTTTAGCGGTGTCAATATTGAGACAACCAGCAACGGATTCTGTATCCATCAAGAACGATACATCAAGACTATTGATTCTCTACCTAAGGATGTCACCTTTGTGCAGTATAGCTCTCTTCGAGCGAAGCTAATGTGGCTCCTCCAAACCAGACCTGATATAGCATGTGCTGTCGCTCAATCAACGCAAGTCACCGAAACAAGGTTCAACTCAGATCCGTCAACCCACAGAAAGCTTCTCAACTCCGTTGTTCGTCATATTATAAAAACCTCCGAACAGAGACTTCTCTATCCAAAGTTAGACAAAGGCTCTCTCTGACTGCAAACGTATTCGGATGCTGCCTATAGCAACAACTATGACGGAACGTCCCAACTTGGGTACATCGTGTTCCTGGCTGACAAGGAAAACAAGTGCCAGCCGTTGTATTGGTCATCACACAAGTCCAAAAGAGTTTCTAGATCAGTCCTTGGAAGCGAGACTATGGCATTCGCCGACGCCTTCGACATGACTTTCGCCATCAAAAAAGACATGGAGATAATGACCAACCAACCAATTCCTATTTCGATGCTCACAGACAGCTTATCGCTCTTCGACGTGATAACCAAGTCAACAATTACCACAGAAAAACGATTAATGATCAATATCAAGGTGGTTAAAGATTCATATCAACGGAACGAACTACGGAATATTGGTTTCATCTGCTCCGAGAACAACCCTGCTGATGCCCTCACAAAGGTTAAGCGATGCACTGTTCTAGATCGAATACTGACTGATTCAACACTACGTCACCGTATCGAACAGTGGATCGACAAGTCGTGACGCACCCGAAGGTGCCCACTTTATTCTTAAGAGGAGTGTCACAACTTTTATCAGTGTCTATCACTATCGTAATCCTTAACGTTGTGCCACCTGTCCCTAGTGGGTGGCACTACCTCACGTAGACAATTCAACTACCTACAACTTGAGGATCCTCCTAAAGGATCCTCATTACCTAAACGGGCAAACGCCTAATTAAGCCTGATAGAGGCGCATTTGTAGGTAGCACCCCACTAAAAAGGGGGGTGAGTACACTTTTAGTCCACTGCACTTGGCGTCGAGTGGGAGTATAAAGGTTGAGGACGAAGACGGTGAACGTCTTCGTCCCGACACAAAAACTTACCCCAACAAACCCAACCGCACCATCCGCAGCAAACAAAAAGGCCCGTCCTCCTGCCTTGCACCTCGCGCCACAAAGGCCTGTGCCCCCCTTCGCGCACAGAGACCCAGTGGCCCGCGCCTCCCCGTGGACACGTTTCAGATCACCCGCCCGCTCCCCGGGCAAATTCCGACAAATAACGGGCTCAAATGGTTGGGTAGATTCAAAGATATGGTCACTGAAACTCCGGACTGCGTTAATTTGGCTGGTAGTTGTCGAATCACGACTGCAACTGTTATGGTGACGTGGATCGACACTATGCTGTTCCGATTGGAAACACCTCAATACTGTAACAGGGATGCAGCATATCGCCATTACTTACAAGTTTTAAACATCTGCGGTTTATTTTGACATTTGATTTGGAAGGGTTTGATTTTTCCCGCAGACTCTGGCGAAAAGAGCAAGACTCTCACAAATCGTCACACAAATCGTCTCACTTTGTGTGACGCCCTAAATCGTCACAAACCGGAGCACAGGGCTAATACTATCTGGCTTGACATTTTCGATAACAGGGAACGGTGGATCCTTCAAGCCCTGACTTGGCTGTCTCTTGACGTGAAGTTTGTCGTGCATAGGGACGGACACGCCATGCACTACCGGCTGGAACCAGATGCCGACACCGTCGAGCTGCTGCTTTTCCGCCGGGTGTGCAACGCCAAGGCGGTCCGCGTCCGCATGCTCGCCGGCGAGTTCCCTGCCGCTTTCGTGAAGGCTGCATTGGTACGTACTGGACGCCCGCACTGCAGGTAGTCTCACGAGCATCGTACACGCGGACGATATTGTGCCAACAGACGGTGCAGTAGCTGACCGGCAATGTGGAGTTTCCACCGTAGTAGGTTGCTGATGTATTTCAAGCCCTCGTCGCAGTATCGACCGCGATGCACAACCGTACGTCATCGCATTTTATCGACTCGTTCGCAAAAAATGACAAATCTCGTCAGTGTCACAACTTTATTTATTTTGCAAGATCACTAACAGCCACTTTCCTGTGATGGCGATACGTCGCACGCAGAGACACAGGGGAGCATGTCGACGCGTAACTTGTTCACAGAGATTGTGTACAACTTATCGAGCACGCGGAACATGAGCAAGGCGCTTTCTCGCTTGGGCATATCCGATGAGACCGCAGATATGCTTGTCCTCGTTCCAAACGCTACGGGGAAACAGATTGCCGATATTCGCGCAGCGGTTGAGGGCGAAGAAGTGTTGGATGTTTCCGAGGGGGTTAAAGAGACGGCGGATATGCCCCAAGTCCGAAAGTTTTACGGGGTGACGGAGGCGGAAGAGCGGAGCGGTCCCATCGTAGACGCGATTGTCACAAGAATGGCATGTCGAGACGTGCGGTAAGAGTTGTTGTCATGACACTTTGCATGGCAGTTGTTTAGTGGTTTAGTCAACACATGCACACATTAAAAGTCTCCGTCGAAACCGGCGAAACCCGTGATGAGGAAAAGCGACCAGTATGGTTTCTTCTCAACTTCGCTACACCAATTCCACGCGCTCGTCAATCTACCGTCTATACAAGACCCTGCACTGAACGAGTCGCTCGCCCCGCTTCCGTCAAAAGCATGTCTGAAAAAGTCGCGCAAAATCTTCTTGCGTGCGGTCTCGACTCCGCCAAATGTCTCGTCGATATATTTTGCCAAGTGCGCATCCTCACGCGCGACATCGCCTAATCGCCGGATGCAGGTCGACAGAGGTCCCAAAATTCGTTGTACCTGCGCATACTTGTCGATAAATGTTAACGCGTTCGGTACATTGTAGTCTCCCAGGTGGACGACAGAGGATCCTACCCAGGACCCTACCCTTTTCTGCACCGTGTTCAAAATCTCGTACATTGCCTTTGATACATGTGGCGCAGCCTGCACTCGGTTCAACCCTTGCCCGGTATTTCGCAGGTGGTATGAAACTGATGGATTGAGCAGGTCCTTCTCGCTGAGATACCACAACTTATACATCTCATGGCAGATCTCTCTCCAAAGGGCCAGGCTCTGGAATACATACCGAAACTGGCGCGAGTGATCGTGGGACAAGCGGGCACCTCCAACACCATCACTGATCGCGAGGCTATCCGCGCGATCGGTAGGTCGTTCCGGCTTGAAATACTGGTGCAGATACTTGATCATGGTATCGCACGGGTCGCGGGCGCTTCTCAAATAAGAGCTGTTATCACCGATAGAGTACAGACAGCGTTTGATTTCCTCCTCGCCAAGCGTTTGCCCCCTCTTATAGCGCTTCGCCAGCAGCTGGACAGCACGCTCCTTTTGCGAAATCTCCCTTTGTATCGCTCTTCTCGTCTTACCATCCGGAATGATTTCTTTGGTGGCCGCCTGAATAAGCGGATCGTCCAACAGCTCTAAGCCCTTCCGCACTTCGAGGTAAGAATGGACGGTAACAAGCGGTTTGACGCAAGAAAAATCGAGCAGGCGGGTAATATCGTCCGAAACAGAATCCTGAAGCATGTGAATAAGCTTACCATAGGTATCGCGACTCTTCTCCGGATTGGCGACTTTGTGTCTGCGAGCAACCTCGAAGGCGGTCTGAAAAAAGGCCTCGTTGGCGGCAAAATCCTTCTCGGCGAGAAGCTCCTGGCCGCGTGCGTAGTCCGAGGCAACAGCGAGCCCCGTGAGAATAGAGCAAAGGTCGCGAATCTGAGCGTGGATTCGCTGCTTGGGCTTCATGCGCGAGTAGGTGAGGACGTCAACGACGTCGGTGTATTCGCTGACATTCAGAGCGGCCTCGACCAGACGAAGAATCTTGCGCTCCCAAGCAGACAGCCTCAACGGGATGTACTTGGCTCGGATGGCGAAGGATTGCGGGCGTGTGCCATTGGGCACATTGTCATCCGCGTGCCGGTCAGCCGAGGCGTCCGTAGATTCGTGCATGGCGACATCGTCATCGTCGCGGTCGTCCTCCGCAAGGTGATGGTTTTGCCGCTTGACGGAGCGCGGGGCGTCGAGATGGATAGGCTGCGGGCCGACGGTGGACAACGCAGGGCCTCTGATCTGGTCTAGGACTGAGACGAGGGCCTTTGAGAGGACGTCGGGATCCTTGATGGACAGCCAGTGGGCCGAGCTCCTCTCGAGGATGGCATCAAATGCCTTGCGGGACGCCTGCTGCTGCTCCGCCTGTCTCGCGACAACGTCATCGTCCAGGTGGTCGTCGGCATTACCGTTGGCCCCAAGCTTGGGGTTAGCGAGCGAGGCTTCCAAGACTGCGGCGAGCTCGCCCGCCGCTGGACGGTCTGCGGCACGCTTCATCAGCGAGCATGCGGGGCTGGCGGAGGGGGAGGGGGGGGGGGGGGGGGGGGGGGGGGCGGGGTGCGCGAGCGAGGGCAAAGTGAGGGGTGGGCGGGCAGGGAAGATAGTGTAGTGAAGGGACGAGTAACGTGCAGGCGAGGGCGGGGCGATGGCTGGCGGTGTTGTGCGCACGAGGCGTGGAAACGTCTACATGTTCGGTGCGTGTCCACGTTGCACAAGGCGGAAATTTTGCGGTCGGCGTCCGTCACCTGGGCCAGTCGCCTGGGCCTGTCGCTCCTCACGGCACGTAACCATGTCGCGTCAGCCACAGGGCGCAGTCTGCGTCCGCCGTAATCGCGCCCATGCCTCGCCGCTCCACTAACCCGGCGGCCGGCGACTTGTCCACCTGCACGTGCCCGCGGTGCAGGTGCGTCACGGGGTTGAGGTCCATCGCGACCGCACCGGCGTTGCACAGCGGCGCGCGCAGCCGCATCAGCTCGCGCGCCGCGCCCTCCAGCTCGCCCTCCGAATACGCGTAGTCCAAGTGCGTCCCCATGTCGCGCAGCACCGCCACGGTGGCCGCCTCGCTCAACCCGCGCATGTCTTCCGCCTTGATGTCCATCTTCAGCTTCCCCCCCGCCGCCGCGAGCAGCACCTCCCGGCACCGGATCGTCGCCAGCGCCTGCCGCACCCACACCGACTTGTCGTGGTATTGCCCCGCCGTCAGCGTCTTGTGCCTCTGCTGGGGCGCACGCTTCCGGCAAAAGTCAGGATGAGTCAACCTGCCCAGCGGCACATCGACGCCCCAGCCCATGTCGCGCACGGACCGAACGACATGGCGCACGTCTCTGTAGCTGGTGAACACTGCGTCCACGTGCTGTTCCATCTTGGCGTCGGCGTCCTCCGTGGCCTGGAAGTGGTGCCAGTCCTGGAGGAGGTGGACCTTGACCAGAAGGGAGGTGCCCATGCGCTGGAACGCGCGCGCGGTAGGCTCGCCTGTGGCGTTGGGTGGCCGTACGGCGTAGCGGTCGTGCCACGCGGAGAGGTCGGCATGCCAGCCGGCCACAGTGTTGGGGTCGCGCACGCGCAGGAGGATGCGCAGGGCGTTGAAGAGCCAGGTGGAGCCTGCGCGGGAGCCGCCCGCCGCGATCACGACCAGCGGCGGGGGGGCCTCGGGGGCCGGGAAGTCGCGGCACACGCGGCGCGACGTGCCGCAGAGAAGCGGGTGCTCCTGCGCATGCGCTGTGTCGCAGATGCTTGTGTCGAAGCGGTTGGAGAATTGGAGAAGGGCTAGTAGGAGGAGCATCAGCGTGAACAGACCGATGCAGGTGTGCTGGAGGGAGGACATGGCGTGGCGAAGGGTTTCGAAGGCGCGGATTGGTCTGCGGCGCGGCATAGCGACAGGCAGGGGAGAAAGTCGGGGGACGCAGGGGAGCGGTGGTGAGATTGGGATGGTTAGCCTAGATTGAGTTGTGTTAGGTGAAGCGCAAGAGGGGGGAGGGGGGGGGGGGGTTTGTGTGTGTACAACAGATGGAGAGGGATGGGGATCAATCTTCTTGTGCATTCTACTGTTGTCGAATGCGTGAGGCCAAGTAAAGTTTACAGTAGTAAATCGACGACTACATTAACTACGATCAGATGGCGGCTTTTTCAATGCCAATTTGGCCGTGGATATTCCCAGCGATTCTCATCGCGGACATGCGAAGGTTAAGAAAAGCGGATATGTGCAGGTCAAACATGGAGCTAAGGGTGAGCCATCGGCAAAACTGCGAATGTGGGAAGGCCATGGGTCAACCATGACCATGGCGAATGGTCCGAACCTCATCGCGCAAGGGCGAATGTAAAGAGGAGGCGACAGGGGTCTACAGGCGTGCAGAGGCAATGCGAAAAGGGTCACAACTCATATCGGCACAGCGCGATTAGCTAGCGATGGATAGATGCGATGCAAGCAGCAGCGAGCAGACGTAATTAAGCGGAGGTAGCTTGCGGAAAAAGACAACGGCAGACAAGCCCAGCACCTGTGCTGAATCTCCTGTTCCACCCGATCTTCTTTCGTCCTCGTCACAGCGAGAGTAGCAGCGGTAGACCCTACACCTTTCGCCCAGAATCCGTACGGGATGTCCGAGCATACCAAAACTGTACTGAGTGCTAGTGGACAACCCAAGGGTGCCGCATCGAAGTTTGGAATCAATAGAAGCGGTACCTTCGAAGGTACACAGTACTTGGGACACCGATGCGATTTTAAACAAAGCAAATCATTTCGATAGCGTGCTGGACCAAGAACCTAGTAGAAATTGGATTCTTTTTTCTGTATTTTGTGAGGCAACGCCGTCGGGGATCACAGTCTCAAACAACTATCCACAGGTCCACGTCAGGGCTCTTCAGTGACCATCGCCAGTCCCCCCCGACTTCGTGCATACCTTTCAGCTCGATAACTCCGACAACCGTGTTGCGTCAACCGCAATCCATTAACAAACTGAGAGCGAAGCAAGTGAGTTTCTTCCTCGTTCCATCCTAATTTTAAAAAATTGCCCCCGCCGTCGACCACATGCAAGCCATGTCGACAGAGGACAAGAAAATCACCCCTTCTTCCGTCAGACCCCTTCCGCCCACGCCGTTCAGTGCGATGGTGGGACGACCCGGGCCTGCCACCGCGGCCTCGCACGCGCGTCCCGCTACCGGCCCCGCGGACTGCGCCTCTCGAGACCGCGCGTCCGACGCCGCCGCCGCCGTCAACGACATGGCCACCCTGCTCAACGCCATGGACCCCGACGTCGTCAAACGCCTTGTCTATGCCCGAGAGGCGGCGGCCGGCGTGTACAAAGCCTTTCCAGAGGGCGATAGACGCTTCGATAGCGTCGAGACGGACAGTGAAGACGAAGAAGGTGAGGAGGAGGTTGTGCACGAAAACGGCGACGGCGATGGCGGTCGGGAGTCTTGCATCGGCCTTTTTGACCGCGTCGTACACCCCAATGCGCAAGTCAGTCTGAGCCGCGCGAGGGAGGACCACGGCATTGATCTTGTCAAGGAGATGGATGCTGCCGGGTTGACCTTTTTTGAGAAGATTAAGATTGTCAATTACATTCGGCGGATGTGCGATGAGGGTGGGAGCACGGCAGAGGAAGCAGTGCCAGAAGTGAGGAGAATAATCAAGACGAAGGATCCTAAGACGCTAGGAGATGATAAGCTTCTATGCCCGGTTATTCCTGGCGACTTGATGCTGACCGCCTTAGAGACTGAGGAGGATTTGCATGATTCGGCTATGGACAAGACAGAGGATGTGACGCAAGCTGTGCGGGAATCCTTGCGTGCGTCCCACATACTACCAGAGGTAGAATAATAAGCTGTGGAGAATTGATGGCAGGAAAAGCATTCGTATTCGGTCTATGTACATAAACTTTACATTTGTCTCCCGACACCCATAAAACCGAACCGCAAAAGCATACCTCTAAAGCGCTGAGGCGGGTGAACTGTCTTCCGATCTCAAGTACATACCCAAATCCGCCTGATGCAGCACGACGATGTCGGTGGGCGCTGCCTTGCGACACTCGACCGTGCTTCTTGCCGTAAGCCCGAACCCCAGAGCCATGTCGCCCATGTTGTACACGACGACACCCGCACCGTGTTCGGTGTTTTCTGTGATCCTTCCCAAGCCAGTCTTCAGCACGTGGTTGCCGTACAGGAAGGACATTTCGGAGGACGGCTTGATCCACACCTTGTGCGTGGCGTATTTGCCGAGGTATTCCAGGCAGCTGATGTGCAGGTGAAAGTTTTTGTGATGCGTGAACTTGCCAAAGCATACGCCAAGCGATGCTAGGCTATCGCGAGCCACGTGCGTGGCGAGGCGCATCGTGCGCTCCGAGACATAGTACACGCGGTCCTTTTGAAGACGGAAGCAGTAGCTGCCGTCCGGCGTGTCGATGAGCTTTTTCAGGTTAGGGCCGATGTACTTTGCCAGCTTTTCGAAGACTTGCGTTGTCTCCTCCTCTGTCAACGGACGCATGGTGAGGCGTGCAGGGTATAAAGAGATGGAGAGATGCTTTTGGGCACGGGAAGACGACAACCAAGACAAGCAAACGGCATAATCTACGCCACCGCCGACGGGCAATGACAAACCTTTTTTTTGAAACAAATGTTAAAAATTAATCGTGGGAATATTATAATACTGTACAGTGGATATGATATTATATAAGCACTTCGTCAGATCATGTTCTCACTCACTCACAGGGGCTGCTCATTTCTCCTCCTTGGTTAACACTTGTGCTCTGGTCACACCACCTACTGCATGTTCCGCCGCGAATCATTATCTTCCACTTCCGAAAAGCAATATAATAGCGGAATGCTCTATCGGCCTGCCGGTTGACGAGGAGCTTGAAGCGAGGAAAGGATTTCTAGGAGATTCGACTCGGCAAGCACTCGTGCTCGGCAACTTTGACATGGGACTCAACGTAGTTAGAAAGGCGTGGTTTACATCTATGTACACAGCCGTAGCGACACGCTCCCTGCCCTCAAGCGCGACAGAGCTTTGACGCCAAGCCCGCGAGCTGCAATGGAGTGGCCACCCCTTCCGCCATCCTCATGTGAACAAGCCCAATAATGCGGAGCATATTGAGCTTGGTCAGTTCATTGTCAATCGTCATACCCTTGGCGACTCGGAAGATGGTCTGAATAATATCGATCGTGGAGTAGCCCTGATCTGAGAGAAACATGACTTTTGCGAGGGCGCCGTCAATATCTTTTTCCATGCACAAGACGAGAAACTCGGCGACGACTTTGGGATGCGGCTGGTCGCAGACCTTATTCAAGTTCTTCCCATTGACGAAACCGAAGCCGTTGAAGGTGCTCTGAATGTTGTTCAACGCAATCCTCATATCGCCATCCGCAGTAAAAACAGCGGCATCGACGCCCGACTGGTCATACTCAGCCTTCTCCCTTTTAAGAACATGGGCCACTCTACCTGCAACCTGCTCATTGGAAAGCCTCCTAAACCGGACGACGGCGCACCGACTTTGAATCGGCTCGATAATCTTTGACGACAGGTTACAAGCGAGTGCAAACCTGGTGGTATTGGAGTGCAGCTCCATGGTCCTTCTGAGTGCCTGCTGGGCTGCCGAGGTCATGGAGTCGGCCTCATCCAGAAGGACGATCTTATGTCTCCCCGGAGGCAAGGTTACCTTTTTCTGGGCGAACATCTTGATGCGCGTGCGGACGGTGTCGATGCCGCGATCGTCCGAGGCGTTGAGCTCAAGGACGGCGTTGCGCAGCTGGGGGCCGAGGGTCTGGCGGGCTAGGGCCATGATTGCAGTGGTCTTGCCGCACCCCGGCGGGCCTGCGAGAAGCAGGTTCGGCATGTTGCCGTTGACGGCGACGACGCGGAGACGGTCGAGGACATCTTCGTTCCCGACGACGTCGTCGAGCGTTTGGGGTCGATATTTTTCTACCCAGGGAAGCTCATAGGCGGTAGAAGGGGGTTTGGCGGTTGACGGTTGCATGATGGGGACGACTCCGGGGAGAGCGGGAGCAGGAGACGTTGGAGACGGAGGGTTCTGGTGCAAGTACTACTTAATCCGTTCGGGATATCCCTACCAGTCTACTTCGTAGATCCTCCAAAGTGGCGTGGTGTTTGAGCCAGGTGAATTTGGCGGGAAGGAGGGGCATTCGGCTCCGGGATCCAATGTGTTTGAGGGTTCCAGAAGGCGGAGAATTAGAAATTCACCACTGTATCGACCGTTGAACCGCCACGGAGGGAGGGGCGGCCCCCTATCCACCCCGCACACGCCAAGTGTCCTTCGTCGCCCCCGATTGGCCAGATGCATGCGCACGCGCAGTGGCGAGCGACTGCGACCCCTGAAATGCTGCCGCAGCGCAGCGCATCAACCCGTTTCGTGGCTGTGCATCTAGGCGCAAGGACCCCCCGCTCTTCAATCCCCTCCCCCGCCATCCCGCCGTCGCCCTGAAATACGCCGCACGACCCTCCCCGCCTCGTGCCCTGCCCCTTGTCGTCGCCACGTCGTCGCTCTATCTGCTCGCCCTTGTTGTCTTGCTCGCGTGCGCTCCGCTTGGGCTCAAACCGCTTGTTGTCGTCGCCTTCGCGGTCGGTGGCCTGCGTCGAGGCATGGCGAAAAAGGGGGCCAAGCACTCGCAGAAGAAGATCGCACGCCGCCTGCGCGCGGAGAAAAAGCGGATCGAACGCCAGCGCGCCCGCCCCCTCTCCTCTTCGGATGTGTCCCCGACCGCCGCCGCGAGGAGAAAGGCGATGCTCTTCGAAGCCATCGCCAATGGTGAGCCCCCGTCCCCGAGAGGCTTGGTCAATTTGGGCAATACCTGCTTCTTCAACGCCGTCATGCAATGCCTCACTCGAGTCGCACATTTTAGAGAACATTTTGTCTTCCAGTCGGCAGCACCCGGCGAGGGCGCCATGACGACCGCAATCAGAACGTTCTTAGTCGACCAATGGAAGGTGGGGGAGTCGTCCGAGTTGAACCCTATACTTCTCTTCTCGGAGGTTGGGAAGAAGAATCCTAGCTTCAGGGGGCGCGCACAACAAGACGCCCACGAGCTCATGAAGGTCATCTTTGATGCCGTCCTCGACGAGGAGAAGGCGCGCCTCACTAAAGTCGCTCGTGGTATCCTTCCGCCTTTTGCCCGCGATGACGAAAACGATTCGCCCTCGGAGACTAGTCTATCCACCTCGGCTGACTATTCAGATACCCTTACGGAAGAACATGCAGGTGTAGCCAATCATACTGATCACCCGTCGCCTAGCTCAGTCGCTCAAACCGCCTCTGAACCCGAGCGTAGTCCAGCAGATGATATAGTTGAGTCGGAGACCGCAACGGAGCCTGAAGACCCAGACCCATCCAGCAACGACATGGGGCATCTCAAGACAGGCGATGCGTCGGGCGAAGACGAGAAACCCATCCCACCAGAAAAGCTTGTCACTATAATTGAGCGTGCCGTAGGCGGTGTGCTGTCCTCTACTATTGTCTGCAAGGAATGCGGCACGAAGTCTGCCGTGTCTGAACCCTTCCTGGATTTGCAAATTCCCCTTGTTCCAAAGGATGCACCCGACCCGAGAGTGGCAAAAGACTCGGACACGACGAAAAAGTCGTGGAAGAAAGACGTAGACGAGAAGCAAGTGGAAGGTGACAAACCGGAGAAGGAAAGCGAAGCTGAGGCAGAGAAACTCAGCCCTTCAACCGTTGTGATTGTCCCTGCTGTTCCTCCACCGCCGCCACCGCTCCCTCCTCCACCCACTTCGCTGGCCAATTACTCCAAGGCATCGTCAAGCAGCGGTACCCGTGACCTGATGCAAGAACTACGCCAGAAAGTTGAAGTCGAGGCACCTAGCGCAGAACCGGCGCCGGATTCAGGATTATCTACTGAGTCGCAAACGGTTCTGCATCACAAAGAGTTGGCGAATAGTATTGCCAACGAAGTCACGGAGACTCAGATCAGCGATGACGATGAAGCAGATGGCATGCCGTCGCTCTTCGATTCTAGCGACAACGACGACGGAGACGACACAGCTGTGGATGAAATTAACGACATGAATGCATTCTCAACGTCAGAGTGTGCAAGGGAGAATGACGCAAGTGCTGCGTCATCATCCGCCGGGAAGGAAATTGCATCTTGCTCCCCTGGTCCACGTCGAGCTCCCGCCTTCATTTCCACACTTTTCGGTGGATTTGGATGTATCTCACCTGCCCCTCATGGATACAGGTCAGTTGTAGGGAGCTTGGAAGAGTTTACGAAAGTGGAGGTCCTGGAGGGCGACAATGCGTATGGTTGCGAAGAATGCAATAGACGCGAAAAGCTGCGGGTTGCGATGCAGCGATTTGATAGCATAAGCATTAAGGCGAAGAAAATTGAGGCATCCGCTGAAGTCTTCGCCGATGACGTTGTTGGTGAATCTGATGTAAGTGCCGTTGATGAGGGCCAAGCCAGAAAGAGACCAGGCGATAGCACGGATAGCACCGAAAGCTCGAATTCGTCGGAAAATGAAAGTACATCATCGAAGGTTGGCACTAGAGACAAGAACAGTCAACCCGTCATGATGTCGTCTTCACCAGTGACCAGCAGCAGCAGCGAAGGCGGCAGCGGTACGACCTCTGAGGAGGAAGGGGAAGTTGTTATAGAAGAAGAGCTGGAAGAGCCACGCCCATCGAAACCTGTCCGTCAACGCACCTTGACGCGGGAAGAGGAAGATGCATTGATCAAGAACCTCGACGTCAAGGTGCCAGTTGTTCGCAGCGCGGCTGAGAAGCGATTTGTGGTGAAAAGGGCGCCAGACGTACTTGCGATCCAGCTGAAACGTTTCGCACAGGTCGGGTTCCGCGGGGGGCTGCGAAAGATATCTGGGCATGTGGACTTCCCTCTGGAGTTTGACTTGGCCCCATTTGTTGACGAGTCGGCATCCGAAGAATTGAATGCAGAACTGAAAGAGAAATCGAGTGCCGCTAAGCGAAAACGATCTGTATGTTCTCTGTATGGGAATGGAAAAATTAAGGCTTACAAGTATGCATTGACTGGGGTTACTGTTCACGGGGGCTCCCTTTCTGGCGGTCATTACACCGCTTACGTAAGAGAGGGAGTTGACTCTGATCATAGGGGGGGATGGTATTTTTGCAATGATGCAAAGATTCAGAGAGCGAAAGAACGCGATGTGCTCAGAAGCGAAGCTTACTTGTTGTACTACGAGCGGGTCCCCGTGTAGATGTGGTTGGACTCCGATGATATTTTTAACTCCGTTAACTAAAGCCATCCGTTGCCTTCCTGTGGAACAGAGTAGGCTAGCAAATAAACTAAAACGGCAGATCGCTCAGATTTTGGGTTGCTCCCCTTCCTGTATCTCCTGCAGAATATTGTGAGTTACTTCGGTTCTCAGTGGAACGGTCGTTGCCATCAATCATTGTCGGCATCTGCTCAGAACGGGACTGCAAAATCTCGAACGAGTCTGCTGTAACAATTGGGCTCTCCCGCGTCTCGCCGTCTTTTCCTGTCCAGGAGCTAACATTGAGAGATCCAGACACGCCGACTCGCATCCCCTTCTTCCCAAACTTGGAAATGTACTCAGCAGTACTTCCCCATGCCTCGACGTCAAACCAGCTCGTGCGGTCCTGGTCTCTGCCCTCATCGGGGTCATATTCTGTAGTCACAGCTAATGAGAAGTTACACACCTTGGCGTCGGCGCTGATGTCCCGAAGCGAGGGGTCTTTTCCTAGACGCCCCGTGAGTATGATCCTGTTCAGCAGGGGCAAATCGGCGCGAAAGTTATTGCACAGTTCCAACTCGTCGGGCGCCAACTCCGCGGTCGGGTCAAATTCGTTCGGATCGTCTTCTTGCACCTCTGCTGGTTGTGAAGCACTGCACTTGATGTCGTTTTCAGAAGACCGGAGCGCGCTCCTTCGCACCCTCACTGGCCGGAAAGTTGCTGTCGCGGGGCCGCCGCATTTGGATGGAACAAACTGACTCTGCGAACACCCAAAAACGCTTGAACAGGGAAACTGGGAGCAGGTTACAAACCCCTGTGTGCTGCGTACCATCACGGGAGTGAAGGCGTGAGCAAATGCGTCTTTGCTTTTCGGTTCTGCACGTAGAGTGTGTGTAGGGGCAACGGTAGCAGTGATATCTGTGGGATCAGTCTTGCGATTGGATTCAGGCAGGGCTTAAGAGTTTGGGAAAGAATGTCGCGTGGGCGTGGTGTTAGTGCAACGTCGATTGACGTTGTCAATGTCTGCAGCAGAAGTTGGTCGCGTCGGATCACGCCTTCCGTTGGCCACTGCTGCAGAAGGGTACAGTACGCAACCAGCATGACGGGTGGAGTTCTTCAATCCGGGGACAAATTTCTTAATTGATTTCTTAATCAAATTTAAATGCCTGATTTACGGAAGATGGGGCCATATCTCCCAGATTGTCTTTTTCAGCATATGAGGCAAAAAGAATAAAGAAAGAATGCCGAAGACGCCGTCGATGACCCGCATCTCCGCCGAACCCCGTGCATTTACCTTTCGCAACTCCTCTTCTCCCAGACGCGCAGTCCACCTTGGACCAGACGAGGAAGATTTCGCCTCGAGTGGGATGAGTCATCGCAGCGTCCACTTGGCAAGGGGCTGCGGTCAAGGATAGCGGAAGCGGGAAGCGCCAGGAAGCGACACAACACCACACCCACGCAGTCGTCATCATGACGACCCCGGCTTTTTTATGCTCCCCGCTATTTTTCGGGCTAAATACTCGGTTTAGAAGACACCCCGATAACCTTGTCCGCAGCCCGAGCTTCGTGCTTTACAACCGTCTGCGCGTTGCACCGACACGCACGCAAGTGTCGTCGCGCATGAGAAACCGAGGTGGGTTCCAGCTCCCGCCTCGCGTGCCAGAGGATGCTGTCAAAAGGAGGAGGGCGATAGAGCTGCTGGGGAACCTCACGCAACGGAAGAAGATGAAAGAAGGCAAAATGCGAGAAATCGAGGCGCTAGTCGGCGAGCTCCCCAAGAGCCGGGAGCTTGCCCAGCAGTGGAAGGTAGCCATGGAGCATACTCCCAATGCTAGGCGGAAACACCTGACAGGTCCGACGGCGCTCAGGCATCGGACGGAAGTGCTGCGACGGATTCGACTGCCCGAGCGCACCGCAAGCGTGGACCGCTCTTTCGTCCTCTTGGGGTGTCTGGAGCGCCGGTACCGATACTCGCAGCCTCCGTCGATTCGAGTGTTGGAGGAACTGGAAAAGCGAATAGGAGACTATCCAGTCGATGAGAACGAGACACACCACTTTCGAAAAGCACTCAAGGTGCTGCGAAACGAGCGCCGCTCCAAGGAGCTGCGCCCTCCGCGCATTCCAGTTGGAGACATGAACGAGCTTCTTTATGCCAGAATGGCGCTTGGGTACTATGCTATGCGGCGATCAAAGGGCGTTCGGGCCGGTCGGGCGACACGACTCGAAGACGTGATCGGGGTAAGGCCTCGGAATCAGAACGTGGCCTTGTCGTGGAAGAAAATTATGTCTGCAGCTATTCGCAAGAAGAAACGACAGGAGCGTACCGCGAAACGACTTGCAGAGATAGAACGCAAGCGGCTGAAGCGAAGATGGTCTCGCGAGCAGCGAAAATTAGAGAGTCACATGAGGGCGCAGCTGCCCGTGCGGGAGGTGCGCAACAATGGTACCTCGAGCGTGGTGGAATCGTTTGCGGGCGTGGAGTTTGAGTCGTCCAACGTGTCAGCATCTAACGGCAAGGCGAGTGGGAATGGGACTCACACGAATGCGCAGGGTGCGGTTGATGACGGTACATCTGGTGATGCACACGTGACGGAAGAAGCGGTGCCATTCGTGAGACGTTTGCAAAGGATTTTTGGGGTGTTGCTGGGAAGAAAGCTGTGAAATTGGGCAGCAGGTGATGGCTATGGACGAGGGTTTTCAAGCGATTGGTCTCTCATGTACTGGGCGGCATCCTCCATTGCCTTGGCTCTTTCGCTTGCTTTGCGGTGCGTGCGGATGTGGACGGCCTTCCGAATGATGTCGTTATCAAGATCATGCATACCTTCCCGGCTGATTTCGACGACCCTGTCCGCATATTCGAGCAAATCGCCCGGTTCATGCGACACGATAATGATCGCAAACTGGGACTTTAACGAGCCCAAGAAGTTAATAATATCGCGCCTTGCGGTCCAATCGACGCCGGCCAGGGGCTCGTCGAGGACGAAGAGGCTCGGCAGCGGGTCGCGCATGAGCTGCGACGCGAGGGCGAGGCGTCTGATCTGGCCACCGCTGAGCGACCTGGGCGGGGCTTTGAGCGACACGTCGAGCAAGCCGACGGCGGCGAGCACGAGGCGCACGTCCTGTGGGGTCTTAGTCGGCCTGCCCATGGTGAGCTCCTCGAGCACGGTGGGGCACAGGAAGTACTGGCCCGGGTTTTGCATGACAACTCCGACGTGGTTGAGCATGCGGGCCGGCTTGGTCAGGCGGCCTTGCCAGAAGAGCTCACCGTTGCCGCGGTCGACGGTCGTGAGCCCGGTCATTAGGTTTAGCGCTGGTAGGAGCGGATGCAGGTATTAGCGATGGAGTTTGGTTAAAAAGAAAGAAAAAAAAACGGCGCGGCGGCTCGCGGGGCGCTGCAGCGCGTACATACCTGTGGACTTGCCCGACCCGTTCTCGCCGATCACGAGCACGAACTCGCCCGCGCGCACGGCGAAGTTCATGTGGTGGAACAGACGCACGTCCCAGTTGCGCGGGACGCGGTAGGTGATGTCGCGCATCTCTAGCAGCGGCGCGGGCGGCGCGGGCGGCGGCGGGCCGGGCGCGGCAGGGCGCGCGAGGCATGCGCGGCGCACGCTATGAGCTGGCGGTTGAAGCGGCCGCGCGCAAGGCCCGGCGGGTTGGCGCAGCGGCAGGGGGGGCGCGAAGGCGACGCAGGACGGCCGCGGCATTGCGGGCGCGGGGGACGGGAGGACGACGATGCCTGGGGAGGGGGGAAGGGGAGGAGAGAGTCATCAGGAGATAGGCATCGGGAGATAGGGTGATGCTCACGGGCACAGGTGGTACACGTGTAGAAGGCGGGTGTATCTGGGCCTTCTGCAGCGACGCGGATGCCGAGCAGAGTGGAATGGGGCGTTAAAATAGGGCGTGCAGACGGCGCGAGCTCGTCGCCCCAAACGCGCGCGTGTGGCAGCGGCGCGGGAACCCGCTTGCTCCGCGCCCGCACTGTACGCCCTTCTCACGGCTCTAACACCGGGGCCGCGGCGTGTGAGCTCCCCCCCCCCCCCCCCCCCCTTTCCCTTTTCCCCCCCCTTTTTT